TCTACTTCGAAAATATATTTCTTTTTCACTATCACTATCAAGTCCAGTTCGCAGTTTTCTTGTGTAAGATAATACCGAGAAACGAGAGTTTCACTGAAAAGTTGCAAATGACACATTTTGTTAAGATGCACCGAGTTTGAGCTGAAATTTTGCCGCCGTATAATTTACATTAAAAATTACAAACTTTACTCTGATTGGATATAACAAATCACTATATACATAGTTCACCCCTGAACTGAAAACAAGACTGTTTCGTTTCTGAGGAAACGAAACAAAAAACACTAAGAAGACAGTAATCTCTAAAAGTCTCAGAGATTTGGTTCTTCGATCAGATGTTCTGACCAAGAAAATTGCGATTCCTTGCTTGCCTGTAACTGGTGACTCCCTTTTATCAGAGGAGATAAGTTAAAGTATGTAAAATTCAACTTACCAGTACTATCCCTTGTGTTACAGCACTGTCTAGCGATAGGATTATAACGGCACCCCTGTAAATGTCCTGAATCCCGCAAAGTTCTGAGATGCCTTTGGACTCGATCACCCAGAATTTGAGTTAGAAGTTCGTCTGGTAACCCACAAGTCTCCATTCCAAGGACATTGTCCGAGTACAGCCTTACAAACGAAAACATCACCTGCACAAAAACATATTCAAAGAATCTGTTAGATTAAAATGTATCTTTGACACAGGCCTCAATTAACTGCCACAGCTAAAAGTGACTTTTAAAATAGGGATTTTGCATATAATATAAATGCAGTCTCCTGATTAGCTGTATTCTGTAATGTGGAGATCAGTACGGAGAATTTGTCGGTCGATATCAGGAAATGATCAGTACCTGAATAAGCCTGTGGTTAAGTCTCCTTTTGATTTCCAACGACTCATTCTTCAGGTCTTCATCTGCTGATGTGGAGAAAGCAGTAGCTGCATGTCCACCATTCTGGGAAGTTTCATCTGGGCAAAGGATCTTGCACAGATGACACGCAAATGCCGTCAGACGGTTCACAGCACAAATCACATCCACGAACGAACTAGAAATTGGCAAAACGTGTGGCTTATCATCGCTTGAATGATTGCTCTCTGAGTCGTGATCACTCCCATCATTGCTGCTTACTCCATCAGACTTCAAGGCACTACCACCAGATCTTGCAGTGTGAAAGCTCTCTATAGACCCAACAGCACTGACAAAACTGCCACATTCTGACCATTTAGAGCCAGCTGAGCCAGAAGCGGTGTCACGCAGTTTAGCAAAGAGTCTGTTTTGAGGGGCCGGGATTTTCACTGGAGCACTAGGCCTTGGTTGGAGCACTGTGCTTTTCTTGTTGTCATTTGCTCCCTGGCTGCGTACATCGTGTTTTCGCTTGTCTCCTGTTTCAAGACAACTTTGTCTTGCTGGGCAAGTTCGACAAGAGGTTCTCCGATCACTTCCATCACGTCCCAAACTACTTATTCCTTCCTCTTCATGCTCAATCACTGGAACAATGGTACGGAAACCTAACTCTGGAGGAGAACGTATCTTTGATGCCCCTTTTCCAGAACCCTCCTTTCGCTGCTGTTTGCTGCTGTCCCCATTGGGCACAGACTTTGAAAAAGCAAAAGCTCCGTCACTAGAAATGGCTTTACTTTGTGACATCTTTGTCTTACCTTCATCTTCAATGAAGTTAAAGGAATCAGAAGTGTGAATGGATTCATCACTGTATGATTCATCACTGGTATCATTCTCAATTGGGGTGCTTTGGTTCCTAGACTCAGAAGCTTTGGAATAGGATGAGCATTTTGAAATGGAATCTCTTTCAAGGATCAAAAGCTCACCATCATCTTCTATAAAATCTTGTTTTACAGTCGGTGCAGGATCTGTCGAAATTGATGCACACTGCTCTCCTTCGACCTTTTCTGTGTCTTCTATTGGTTGGTCCACCAAAGGCTTTATGTGGTTTTCAGTCTTATCCAATCCACTCAGTTGTGCAACCCCAGGGTTTGTTTCGTACCCAGGATGTAGCCCACCTGTTTCTTCAAGAGGTTCTCGAGTAATGGTTAGCACCGAACTTTCTCCTTTCTCGTGGGGCTGCATCACACAGTTTCCTACAGTCATACTTGCCCCAGAACGTTCTACTTCGGTCTTCTCTGTGTTACATCCTAACTGATCTAGCTTGGGTCTAGTATTGTTTTCAGCTTCCACCGAGGGACACAAAGAACTATTTGACTGTGAGCTTTCAGGATGATGACCATTCTCAAGACCCTTCACCACACTTCTATCCTCCTTCGTGTTCAGCCCAGAGGCTTTGACTTCATCCTCGGCGCTACCGTCCAACTGCTCTTTCATGGATACAATGTTGTTTTCAACCCCCTCTAAGTTGTTTAAAGATCCACTAGGCTCTGCATCTTCGGAGTGTTTACCATTCTCAAGAGGCCTCAGTGCACCGTTTTCTGCCAACTCTGCCCCATCATTCTCTGCCTGCCCAGAAAGAGAAGGTTTCTTGGACTTTTGTCCTTCTGAATCCTCCACCTCTGAAACACACTGAATTTGCTCTACATCGTCTGCATGCTCTTCGCGTTCTTCTGTACTAAACTTGTCATCATCTTGTCGCTTGTCATTCTCGTGTTCTGATGCACTTGGTTTGGTATTTTCAAGGTTATCTGACATCTTCACTGTAGTGAGCTCCTCATTTCCTTGTTGGTCTAATGTGATGCTCTCCTTTTCACTTAGCTCATCACACCGAGCATTGCCCTCGTCGTTTTTTACAATTTGTATCGCCTCTTTCATGATTCCATTACCATCTTGCGCAGTGGCAGAATAGCTCATTGACTCCCCAGTGCTCCTTGGTTTCGCCAGACTTGAAGAACATTGTTCCTGATGTTTATGCGGGTCAACCGCAACACTTTTTGGTGATTCTTCTTCAATGGATTCTCCTTGACTGCTGGGATGGTGCTCTACAATTTCAGGCTTGGGTTGCCCTCTAGGAAAATGGATTTGGGCAACAACCTGCTGTGTATTGTCTGATTTGGGTGTATTTCTCCGAACACCTCTTGCAGTCTCTTCATCTGAACTACTATCAAAAGACAGACTGGGTTGCCGGCGTTTTGGACTTTTCACTCTGGTTGGGGGACTGGAGCCTAGATGGATTTTCCTTGAATGAAGTGGCTCTTTACCTCTAACTCCTTTAGAGGCAGTAGACTAAAAACAAAAATAAAACAATCATTAAACTCCTGGCTAATATGAAACAAACACGATAGTCAGTGATAAATTAAGAAATCAGTTTCTCCCCTAACTATCAATCACATGGCAAAACAATGCAAAATTGCTTCAGTTGTTGAATTTCAAACTTGAACTTGATTGACTTCGAAATGGTTTTCCGTCAACCTCGCCCCAAGGGTCCTTGGGAACAAGGTTGCGTTTCCAGCATGAGAATGGTGGGAAATAGGATTACTAACTAGAAAGAAAAATTACATAAGTGTAAATTTAATGCTTATTTCTGATAGGTTTTCATCTCAATAGAATTGATTTCCAGACTCAAAAATTTCACATTCAACACGTGCCAGGTAAAATAATATTTTGCTAAGCTTGCAATCTCGACAAACTCAACTGGAGACAAAGAAGAGGGTCTGTGGACAGGCTAGCAGCAATCTCATATAAGATATCAATGCCATACCTTGGAAGGCATCCCAACAGAAGAGCTGACAGTTTTGAAAGCAGAATGCTGTGATGGTGTCAAGGACGGAAGGGAAGCAGACTTGGGACCAAGTGGCCCTGGTGCTGTCAGCCTTCCTGGCTGCATCTGGCGGCGTCTTTCTTGTTCTCCACTTATGTTCACCTCAACGGCATTCCATACATCATGGCTGATCAGCTGAGGAACAAGTGTTTGAAAGTAACGGCCAACAGCATCCAACCACTGCAGCGCAAACTCCTGAAAGGGCTCCCGCCATCTTTGATGACTGGAATACAACACAGAAATATTTACAGTGTTTACGGTTATGGCGATTTATTACAGTCATTACCTTCAGTAACATAGTGCGAGAACTTTGCAGCAGCGTAATGGTTGGTGACTCTATATCACACAGTCAGGGCACAAGTACATGTACTTCACTGTGGTCTTTGTGTTGCCCTAGTGGACTAAACTCTGCTACAGAGAAGAGGAGGTGATCTGTTGTTTGACTTGCATCCACCTAGGGGGGAGTTGCATCATTTCCTGGTGTTTTTGGTTGTGCAGGCCATTACTTAACAACTTTTTCCTTACTAAGCATATACACATGTAGCTAACAACAGCAACACGTAAATACATCCAGGTGCACTCTGAAGCACTGTGATTTGGCAACCAGATGTAGCCCACCTGTAGTACTGGCCACTACAGGGGTAGATGAACACATAAAGGAGGATGTACACATTATACCATAAAGATGTGGCATCAAATAAGACGTGTTATCAGTTACTATACAGGTGGAAGGGTGGAAATGATCTACACAATGACAAACAATGTTAAATCACCATTTTTAAAGGAATTATGCAACAATTTTTTTCATTCCGTTTTCTGATGCACATGCACATGCACATACTTACCTGTAGGGAATGTACTTTGACCATTCTTTGTCTAATTTTGATAATCGAAATGCCAAGCACAGCATCAAGGGCTCCACATTATCACGGCGTTGGGTTCGGGGTGGGTTTTCACACAGCTGTTGCACATCTGACATCAGCAAGGAATAAAACGTAACAGCCGCAAGCTCCATCATATCAAAATACCTGTAACAAAATGTAACCAATTACCCAGTCAGTCACGTCCTTACGCGGTGAAATTGCGAGTCACGCAGACAAGCAGCCAGTGTCTGTCTATCCCTTAATAAGAGAGACTGGCTTTCAGACAATCATTTGGAACAGTTAGCTAGTGGACTGCAGGCAGTCTTTCAGCTTTTTCTCATGAAATACGGCTGTCTGCATGATTGTACTAATTTTAAAATACTACTTAAAATATAAATCAGCAGTAAAAATTAACCACAATAATATTACATGTATACTACCCTTGAACTTCTGAAACATGATAAGTTGCTCCTGGAATCTGTTATAGAGTAAGAATCTCTCTGGGATTCAGTGTTTAAGGGTATTTCAAGTTTATAGATGACATATACAATGAACATCTAGCAGACATTTTTTAATTGTACCAATTACACTGCAATGTGATCCATTTGAAATCAGCTGACAGAAGGATGAGATTCATTTGGAAAACACCCGAACAACAGCAATAATCATTTTTGCCAGATTTCTATAAGTTACTGGAGCACATGGTAGGTAAAGTTAAAGTCTGCATACGAGCCAAGTGGCCCATCAGGCTGGAGCTTATCCTGGATGAAGTGACTGGGTGTATTTCTACTACCCACTGGATGGGATGCTAGTCCATAGCAGGGTTGCCTCCAGCATTAAATTTGCCAGTACCCATTTATACACCTGGGTGGAGAGAGGCACTGTGAGAGTAAAATGTCTCGCCCAAGAACACAGCACAATGTCCCCAGCTAGGACTCAAATCTGGACCACTCAATCTGGAGTTGAGTGCAATAACCACGAGGCTGCCACGCCTCCACACTGGAGAACATGACAGATGTGTAAACAGCTAACCTGGAGAAGGCCTGTTTGTAAGAAGTGTTATAATATTTGACTTCATGGTGGATTTCCAGGATTAATTTGAGCAGAAGCTTGGGTGAAGAAAAATTTTGCCTTATCTCATCTGTGGCAATAACTTTGATGCGCTCATACCGACCCACCATCTCTTCCTGGAAGAAAATAAGATGAACAAGACAAATTCACAGAATAGCAAATAGTTAATTTTGATTATAGAACAATGACAGATAAATGAATCCTTTGTTCACTGAGGTTTTGGTCTATTATTTCAAACAAGTACTAGTAGTGATTTTCCTAAAATAATGCTAACATAAATTAATAATAACAATTTTTTAACACTCCTTGCTAATCTCTAGTTCAAATCATTTGAGAAATTAGGGGGAATGTATGCCAAGGTAAAATACAGTGTAATCTGACTTTACCAGCAAATTCATAATGGCTGTTAACTTCTATGTTAGTACCTTCTATATTCAGGTCTGTAAGGGAGTGGGGGTGATGGGTGCTTCTACATTTTAAATTTTAAAAGTTCCAGAAATATTCAGGTTTTTATAAGTTATGCACTTTTAGCTGCCTAGTTTCATAAAAATTGCCCTCATAAATACATAAAATGCTGTCTTAGACAACCTATTTTTCTGGACCCACATGTACCTATGTAATGAGCACTTTGCGATTGTGCCTGTTATGCTCTACAGCAAACCCACCCCTATATTCATAACAAATCCTGATTACTGGCCTGATATTAACAGATGGAAATCGGTTTGAGATGTTAAAAGAGGTGGTCATGGTATGTGAACCCATTTCTTATCTTAGGCCTTAACCTCTGCATTATCAGTGCCTGGTAGATGGGAACAAGATCATTATGATTTGATAATAAGGAAACTATTGGAAATCTCAGTTATTACACATTTTTGGAATAGCATAGTTATTATAACTACAGTGTGTCTTCAAAACTTCAAAATAAGGGTGCATTTCTTTGGGAAAATCCAACATATATGTTACAAGATTCTTAAGAGGTGCCCTCTGTAATTTTCAACTATGGCCATTTGGACCAGAAAAAATCAAATTCCTCAAACTTTCTCAGATGAATGGTCTAGATACATGATTCACAAAAATATAACTTTCAGTTCAATTTGATTTGTATATTAACGCTGGGGCCACCATCTTGGTTTTGCCCCTCTGAG